TGTGAGGAGAAATTTGTTTAATGAAGTTTTTTTTTTTGTGACGAAATAATTTTCGACGAAATGAACATTCGACGAAATGAACTTTCGACGAAATGATTGTCGACGAAATGAATCATCGTTTTTTGAGGATGATAATAAACATTAAGATCCAGTTTGTATGGGAGTGATCGAAGCAAGCGTTAAGGACAAGATCTATGAACAAAATACACTAACGAACGTTTTATCAATTATTCAATAGTTTGTGTAGGAGTGATCGAAGTAAGCATTAAGGACAGACCTATGAAGCTTTCATAATATACTAACGAACGTTTTACCAATTATTCAATAGTTTGTATAAGGAGTAATTGAAGTAAACTTTAAGGACAAGATCTATGAATAAAATATTATAACGAACGTTTTATCAATTATTCAATAGTTTATATAAATTTCTCTTTTAATTTAACTTATATTTAATAACATCACTGTGATAAGTAAATAATAAAGTCAGAGATAAATTTAATCATTATTTACACATGTATATAGGAATAAATGTAAAAGAAAAATTTTAATACCTATTTATTTATCATATTTACTTTTAAAATAAATGATTTTACTATAAAAGACATACCTAAGTGATCAAAATCTGTGAATATTCATAATAATGTAATATTTGGACATTTATTTCTACTTATACTTGCAATTGGACGCGCCAAACAAAATTTTACGTATATGAATATAAAGGCAAAATTTGACTTTGAGGGTCAGATTATTTTCGGCTTTATTAACAACCTGCTTTAAAATTTTTCATAAAGTAGATAGATACACATGATAAAGAAGTTATTATCTCAAATTTGGTGGTGGTTGCTACACAGCAAGGGTATCAAACGACATTCAATTATAACTGTTTTACAACCTCCTATAGATCGGCGGGAAATGTCATGCGACTGTTGATGAATTATTATTATATATAGATTATTGAAATAATTTTGCACAGTATAATCACAAACATAGGGGAAATCAAATAATAAAATCAATAGTAAGGGGATATAGATGTACTGATCAAATGGTTTTTAATATATGCAGTGTATATATGGCAAAACGAGACTCTCTAGTTTTGGAAACCAGCGCTAGTCAAAGCTAGATTTGGAAATTGTCCGCATGAGGAACAAAAATCATTTTTGAGAACGAATTCAAATTACATAATTGTTATATTTTCTTTTTTAAAAAGAAACTCTGAAACTTAATAACGATTCGGATATAATAATATGATGATTGAGTCAGTTTTTTTTAGAATGTTACAGTTTTTAAAATGGATAAAACAAGGAAATAAGACGCAGTGCTTTTAATCGAAAAAACTATATCCATGAATTTTAGTTAATAAACACGGGAGCAATATCATTACCATGAAAAGATAGATTTTATTCTACTGGCAACAAAAATATTAGTAATTTATTAGCGAATACCAAAAAAAGATAGGGTTTTAAACTATTGGAGGAACAGCTATCACAAAATTTATATGTATATAAATCGAAATATCATTGTTATTATTTAACAACTATGGCCGATGATGACCCAACTTTTGCGCTATTATTGTCAGTTAATTGCAAGAAATTCGGTTGCTTGTCAAGTAATAAGCTTATTTATTTTCGCTTACTGCCTCTTTTCTTGTATCCGGAAAATTTATAAGCACACTTAATGGTACTAGATAAATAGACATGATCTTTTACAAGCTCAAAGGTTCCTATAAAGTTCTTTTTTTTAATTTGCTTAAGCTTGTTGAGCGATCGCAGACTTGCTTTTGTCTGTTTACAAAAGAACTCGAGCAGCTTGTTTAACAGCTTTGCTTTTTACAATAGCACTACCAGTATTTCCAATTAACCTTTGGACAATACTTCACTAATTGCCGTTAACACTTTTACTAGTTAGTGGTCTAAACTTTTGCTTACTTATCAAAGCAAATTACATTGCACGTATATATGGATATCTTACCTATCTCTCGTGGAAATATCTACTACCATCATTTTTTCAGCTTTTCCTTTCAAAATCCCAGTATTTACCCTTCAATATACTCGACAACTTACATGACTCTAGCATATCAAATGAATTAAAGTTGATTTTGAGATAGGGATTATTTTGCTTTTTTTATATAAGTATTAAATTGCATTTAATTCATCTGCAGGGCAATAATAAATTTTACGAAATTTCGAATAGGGTTAATATTAAATTGACTAATAAGAGTGCAAAAATAAATATTTAAGCAAAGAATAATTTTAGAAACAAGATCATTTAAAAATCATTTATATAAATTTTAAATTCTTTAAGAAGAAAATTATTTAATTATTGTAAATTCAAAGTTACGGTCAGGAAATTGATCCGTTAACTCATTCAAAAAACTAAAGATAAAATTGTATATTGTTTTTAGAATAAAACTACATGTATTACTAAATACTATTATTGTTATTATTAAACAATTGCATGCACTTGTTTATTGTTGTTATGGCCTCCTTTTATCAAATTATTGTCACCACTACTATCATCTTCATTCTCAAAATCGCTGCTAAATCTTTTTATTTCTTTGTTATTATTAGCCTTTTTAAGTCTATTTTCTGCTTTTATTGCTTCAACTGCATCGCGAAATTTTTTACGAGCATTGAAATTTTTCATAATATCTCCAAATAAATTTACATCTGATGCACTTCTGCCTGTCAACCATTTATGTTTTAATGCTTCCTCCGCTGTAGGTCGCTTTTTTGGATCTGATTTTAATAAATAAAGAATAAAATCCTTGGCTAATATTTAAAATTTAATTATTAAAAACACATGAGATTGATTACCAATACATACACCAATACATGTGAATTATATATAATTATAATTATTACCGTTTTCTGATACAAGTCCCCAATAACGTTCCTCAAACTTCACATGTGCTCTTGTTACTTCTTCTAAAAGCGCTGCTCGATTCTCAGAACGAAATGGTGGATAACCACATAATCTATCAATTAAAACAACGTTCATTTAAGAATGTTATTAATATTCAAGAAATAAAATATCTTTGATAAATCAAATTTAATTATAATATACATACAAATAATAAGTTATGATTCTGTTAATGTAATTAATTAAAAAATTAAAATTAAAAAATTATTATTAATATTGATTATTTTAATTATTATATATAAATTTCATTGTAATATATAGATTGCTGGCAAGAAATAAATACCCAATACTCCAAATATCAACTGATCTTGAATATGGGATTCTTTGATGAATTTCTGGTGCTGTTTATAACAAAAATAAATTTAAATTAATCATGATAATATTACTTGATTAATAATAAATAAATATTACAATTTGTTACCTGCATACACATAAGATCCACAATGAGTGAACATAATATCATCTTCATTTTCTATAACTTTTGATATGCTTTTATTAATAAAAACAAATGAAATTATTCATCTAGATTAATTTTATAAAGAAACAACAACAAAATAATAACATATCATCATTACCCAAAATCAGCAAGAACAAGTGGCGAATCTTTTGATTTATCTTTATATAATAAATTTTCAGGTTTTAAATCTAAATAAAATTTAAAAATTTCATTAATAACTTGATAAATAAACATATTCTTAATATATTTATTTAATACTACCTCGATGAACAACATTATGTTCATGAAGATATTTGACGGCCCCAAGAATGGTCTTGACAATTTCTATAGCATCAGATTCTGTAAATTTGCCAATCTTCATTAATCTTTCAAATAATTCTCCACCAGTTGCACTATATAAAGCAATAACAATGAGTAGGGATGTAGCAGTAGATAATAATATTAATAATAATAATAAATAATTATTTGATTGATTAATTGATGAGGAAGGATACAGTTCAAATACTAGGTAGTATCTATTTCTTGATTCAAACCAATCATAAAACTTCACAATATTGGGATGATCTAGTTTGGATAATATATACATTTCTTTGTAGACTATTTCTTCTTGATTTCTTACTTTACTTTTATCAATAACTTTAATTGCAACCTTATGGCCTGTGGGTTTTTTTACTGCTTCTTTAACTGATCCATAAGTTCCTGTACCTATATATATATCATCATCATTCAACATAAAAATGATTTAACCAATTAATTAAGATGTAATAATAATATTAATAATGTTACGATAAATGACAATTATGTACCTAACGTTTTCCCAATTCTGTAAAATTTCTAATAACAATTTGAAAAATATAATTTTTATTATTAATATTATTTTCTTGGCAATTTTTCTCCTTTATTATTCCTTACTTTTTTTTCATATGATTCTGGTTGTGGTGGTCTATGAAGTGCTGAATCGATAAAATTCTTTATCTCCATTTTTTCGGTTTATGCTTTATGCTTTTTATTTTTTTAAAGAGTAAGTTTTTTTTCATGTTTTATATTAAGAAATAGCAATGACAAATTGTCTTGTTTTTCCGTTTTTTATTGAAAAAAAAAAATATTAAAAAGTTCTCCCGATTATCATTACCAAATTTCTTTTTTAATATTAGTTAGTATAGATACTAATACTAATACTAATATGCAAGTTTCCAATTTACACCAGATAAAAATATCAACCGTATTAGTAGTATCCAAGCCTTTTTTTTTTGATACACTTTATAAAAAAATGAATAATAGTTATAATAATAGAGGTAATATATGTGTGTATATGATAATAATTTCCATTTATTGATTAACGATATGTCCATTGTTAGGTGCTTATTATAAAGCAAAATATGGTAACAAAAGCTATAATAATAATAACAATGATTCACAACAAAGTAATTATCAGCAGCAAGGATCTTATGACGGTATCAACACCGAATTATTTAATCAAGAATTTAAAAATAATGACGAAACACAAAAATTAATTAGTTTGTTAAAGGAAATTAATAATAGGCCTTATAAACAATATAACAGAATCAAGGGTGATTAATTATGTGCTATATTTGTTTTTTATTTTCAAGTTTTTTTATTTTTTTTTAAACTTGTTTGTTTGATTTGTTAAGGTGTTTATGATATGGATCATTACAGAATCTATATTTCTACAATTCAAGTAGACCCTTTTGCACCACCAAGTAGTGTCCGTGTTCGTGTACCACAAACGCTAGCCCAGTTTCCTAGAGAGTACTTGACATCTAAGATCAGGAACGTGGCACTTTGTGATTATTTGACACGGCACATACACAGTGTACTTGGTAATAATGGATCACTGTATGATGAGAAAGCAAACAAACATTTGACCTTTCATCAGGTTAAAGGCGGTGAGATTGGAATTGATAAACCTAGTCAACATGTAATTCAAAGAACTAGCGTTGTTGCAGATGAGAAATGGATTGAAGCGAGGTTAACTGTTAATTTACCTGCCAGAGGTATATGCCATGTTAAATAAATCGTATTCGCATGTAAAAATGTACATACGCACACAACTTGCTCGATCTATGTTTGTATTCAAGATTAGATTATTTTACATTAAAAAATATCAAAAACAGGTCGTACGATAAAATCTGATATCGCCATGCAAACTTTGGTTGAGAATCTTCCAACCGTTATAGGATCAACTTTGTATTACCGTGTTTTAAATCATGGTGACCTTAGATCGCATATTGAAAGTATAGAAGATCAAGAATTTTTAAGAGAAAGCTTGAAGAAATTAGGTTGATAGATTGATAGATATATTTGTTTATAAATTTTAAAAAATAGTTATTATAATAATTGACATCAAAAAATATTTAAAGGATTGATCGCATTTGTACGTAATGGTGCTATACTTCCACGTATATCCGGAGCATCTGATTTGCCAATGTGTGGTAACAATACGGCTAGTATTAACTCATAATAATTATCAGTAATGTTAAAAGTATGTCAATAATAATAATAAAAAGAAATCTTTTAGGTACCATTTATGTCACCACCAAACCTTGAAGTTTCAGTGGAATTGCCAAACCAAGGTATCATCAAAGGAATGGGCATACCACCTGGAATTACTATGATAACAGTTAAAAATTAAAATTTTTCTTGATGGTTTTTTTATTTTATTTAAATAAAAACGCATAATGATTGTATATTAATTAATTTAGGGTGGTGGATTCCATGTAATTATTATTCTTTTTTGGTGAATTAAGAGCATGGAACGAAATATTCATTCTTTTGAGTTAATGATTTGCTATATTTTTTTTTTATAAAAAACTCCCCAGGGAAAAACTACTTTATTACAAGCACTTGAATTAGGAATTTATAACCACATACCAGGTTTTATAACTGTTATTTTTTTGATAAATATCTTGCTATTATTGTTTATGACTTGAATGAATAAAACAATTATTTTATAAAAGGTGATGGAAGAGAATTTGTTGTCATTGATAAGGGTTCAGTAAAAATCAGAGCAGAGAATGGGTATGTTTATTTTAAAAAATGAAAAAATTTTACATATTTAATATATTAATAATTATAAATCAAATGACAACAAATAGTCGCTACGTGACCAATACAGATATAACACCATTCTTCGAAGGTTTACCAGGTGATAAAATCAATAAATGTTTTTCTACAGATGATGCAAGTGGTAGTACAAGTATGGCAGCTAGCATCCAAGAAATGCTGGAGGTGATTAAAAAAAAAGTTCATTTTGTTCCATTGATATTTATATAAAAGGTTTTTATGAAATTTTTATTGTTTTTCCAAAGGTTGGAGCCACTACAATTTTATATGATGAGGACACTTGTGCTACAAATTTGTAAGAAGTTTTCTTTTTATTATTATTATGATATTGTATATATATTGATTAAATTAATCTTTTATATTTAATAATAGTTTAGTAAAAGATAAGATAATGCAAGAATTGTTATCGGTTTCTTGCAATGAACCTATTATACCATTAATTGATAAGGTTTTAATATTATATACAATATTTATTTATTATTTCTTGTTTTTAATAAAATTATTCTTTTTCTGGAAAAAAAAAAAATAGATAAGGCAACTTTATGATGAACTTGGAGTTTCCACTATAATAATTATTGGGAATCTAGCAAGTTTTTTAAATGTTGCTGACCTGGTGATTATTATGGAAAATTATAAAGCAAGGTATGGTATAAACAATTTATCTAAAAGTTGCATTCAAAGCATGCAATAAAAAAAAGCCCATCACAGTTATAAATACTTTTTTTTAGGGACGTAACAGCTAAAGCAAAGTCGTTAGCAACTCAGAATAATAGTAATAGTAGCACTAGTGATAATTACGGCACCGTAACAGATCGAATACCAAAAATTAATGATTCAATGCAATCAAAAACATTTCGTGCAAAACATCAACATCTTATCGAATATTATGATACAAAGCCGCCCACGAAACTTGACTTATCAAATTTTGAACAACTTGTTGAACGTTCACAAACAAATTTGATAGCAAATGAATTGACGTATATCCAACGACAACAACACAACAACAATGAAGCATCATTCACAATAAACAAATGGATGGATTTTTTCGATAATGAACATGATTATAGTTTAATTGGACTAGGTAGCAATATTATCAACATTGACGATAGAAAATTGGGATTTTATTCTAGAGCGAGAAGATTCGAGACTACGGCTGCATTAAATAGGTTAAGATCTGCTAAAATGATTCAAGTCGAGTCAACAACAACACATGGTAATGATGATACCAATGATGAATAAGGAGGGATGATGATGGCAAGATGATTGTAGATCAATTAAGGATTGAAGGCTTGTAGATTGATGTTTGAAGTAGTTGTTGCTTGTAAAAATATTATTTGAAAGTGAATGTTAAAAAACAAAAAAGAATATTGATTGAAATGTTGTAACAATACAATAAATAAAAATTGTTTGTTTATAATATTTTTTTTTTACTAACTAAAAGAATATACGCCCAACGGGGGGATCGAACCCCCAACCTTGAGATTAAGAGTCTCACGCTCTACCAATTGAGCTAGCCGGGCCGTATTGCAAAAGTTTTGAAAAGGATGTTAAAAATTCTTTTAATCATTTCTTTTTCAGAACACAGTTACTCCAAATTAAAAATTAGGAATAAAAAAAATGAGAATATGCAATTTCTTTTAATTTGAGGAATTAGTCGATGTTAGGTTAAAAACACAAGCAAGAATTAAAATACTATCCGATATCTCATAGAATGTTGATTCTCGCATATTATAATAATATATATATATATATATTGTTTTGACTCATCCAATTTATAAGTTTTATTAATCATTGAATAAATTTAAAAATTATTTGTGATTAGGATGAAATGAAGCCTCTTTCTCCCATAAATCACTAGTGCGTTATAAATTTCTTAAACAAGCCAAGGAGAATTGGGGATGTGAAGACGTCTCTACAAAGGGCATAAACACCAACTTTCTAGAAATCGAAAAGAATGAATGAAGGGTTGAAATAAAATAGCTAAAACTGATGGATAAAGGGCCATTCTTGTCTATATCAAAGGATTTCTAAAAGATAATTTTGATTTTCGAATTGATTATTTCTGGCAACTTAAAGAAAGGCCGACAAATTGAAACTCACTCGATGTATGTATGTTGTATGTAAGTTGCATATTAGTGTTAACTCTCTTATCAATTTTCCTGAAGCAAAAACTCAGCAACTCACTAGATATGACCCGATTTTGATCTCCTTTCCTTATTGATCCAAAATGTGACAAAAATATATTTCTCGACAGGATGGATAGCCATTTTGCCAAATTACGACCTAATAATTATTATGTCAAAGCTGGTGTTCAAAGATGAGAGGGCTTTAAAAAAAGCGGCAGCAGAATATAAGAAACATATCTCAAAACATGCACATGTGGTAGTAAATCTATTTGATTATGATGTGCAGTTATTTAGTGTAATATAGTTGCAGTTATTATTATTATATTATATTGCTAAAAGAAAAGATAGACCATTTGCTTTCTCGGTTATGTGATCGTGAGATTTTTTCATTCCATAATATTTTTCTTTTGGCAAAATTGCCCACCTTTCTTTTTTTCCTTCTACTTTATAACTTTCCTCATATCAACTAATGTAAATACGCAAGTTGGTGAAACCTTCTCACCTTGTCCTTTTTTTTTTAAATACTTTTAACAATGCTTGCTATAATTCATGTGATCTTATGTAATTTAGGAAAAGTGTATTCTGCAGAATAGTGACTGAGTAAAGAATAGTTGATAGGAAGAAGATAGAAGTTATTGCAGAGAACAAAAGATGCCTAGTTTTGGTAGATTGTGAGTCCAAACCTAAAGATAATAACCAAACACATCAAAAGGTCCTAGAGAGAACAAAAAGGGCAGGTTGAATGTCTCTAATTGAAAGTAGCATCGATAAGTTAAATAAAGGACATAAAATCGTAACATTCAAATTTATAGTAGTGAAAAAGAGGTTTTTGACCATCAACCAGACCCCTCATTTACATCATTAATTTGCACAGTTTTTACTGATCAAGAAATCGAACCTTATGTAAACCTACTTCAGTCCAGCATTATCTGGTAATACTGGTAATAAAGCTGGACAATTTTGACCCCGTGTAGGTTTACGTAAGATTTGATTTCTTAAAAAGAACCGGGATATATTAAACGCGCAGATCTCTGCCAGAATACTAAGGGGTCGAAGTTGTCTTCCAAGCAAAGAATGGTGGTATTGTTGCAGAAAATGACAAAGCTGTAACTAAATAAATAGCTTTAATTAAAGGTCATGACAATTATTAAAATATATCCTAGATAATATTAAGGAAGTTAAAGAAAAGATTATCGATCACAATTCAATTCTTTAAGGAAAAATGAGCGGAAGATATCTCCGATTTCAAATGCATCATTTTATGCGTATAGGGAATTATTAAAAAAATATTCCTAATAACTCCGAACATACCTGAATGTACTTGAATATACTTGAATATAGTTATCAAATAGCGAAAGCATGTGAGTCTACCTATATAGTACTTGTTGTATAAAGAATATTTAATTAAAAGAAAAAAAAAAAAAAGAGAAACAAGAAGTGACGGTTAAAAACACTTTTGTACGACCAAAATTCTTTTTGTTGTGCCCATTTATAAAAAATAATTCGTCATTCCATTAAAAACCGGCGACAAAATTTTCAAAATTTACCTTAAAATTTATTTATTTGACAAATATAATAATAACCTCACAACAACAACAACAACAACGACAACGGCTTGACGACAATAAATAACAGAGATAACGTAACGGTATTAAAATAATAAATAATAAAGAAATGCAAAAACCAGAAACAAAACCCTTTAAATTTTCCTTTGAAGACAAACAAGGTGATTTGTTTAAGGATTCTTCTTCAACAGATTCGTTGGTGAATTGTGTAGCACAAGATTTGCAAATGGATAAAGGGATTGCAGCAATATTCCAGAAGCTATACAATGGAACGGATGAATTGAAATCACAAAATAAGAAAGTTGGTCAAGTCGCTTATCTTTTACGTGAGAATCGTTACATTTATTATCTGATCACAAAAATGCATACTCACGAAAAGCCAACCAAACCAGATTTTGAGGCTAGTTTAAAGGAATTGAGAAATTTATGTGAAAGTCAAGGTGTTACTGGGTTGAGTATGCCTAGAATAGGTACAGGTTTAGACCAATTGAGTTATGATTATGTTGTAGAAACTGTTAAAGAAATCTTCAAAGATAGCAATATTAAAATCACAATGTTTTATTTGTAAATAATATACATACATACATATATATATACATACATAATATATTGATGATGATGATTAAATAAATAAAATAAATAGCCAATAATAAAGCAATATTTTAATTTAATTAATCATCAATGTTCATTATCATCAATGTTCATTGTCAGTTTTTCTCCATTGACTAAAACTTTAACGTTAATCCTTCCGAATGAGATTTAGCGCATTATGGTCTATAATCGACTAGTTTTGGGGAATTTCATTGATCTAATTAATTGACATCTGTCGTCTGTCCCTGCAAATATATATATATGGTTAAAATCAAAAGTTTAATTTTCATTAAATAAAACCATAAACCAAAGTTACCATATAATCAATCTTTTCCCAGGAATTTTAGTCTTGTCTTTAATAATACACTTCAATTCATTAGGATGATACACCATCCATTAAAAATGTTGCCATACAAGGAAACATTAATTAATTAATTTAATTAATGGGAATATATAGTTTTAAAGATTTTTTTTATTGATTTGTATTTTTTACCATTACTAAAGAAATTTTATATTAATATTGATACACTATATATATATATATATATGAAGATTACATAAATATATAGTAATTTGTTTTTTTTATCTTGCAAATCTCTATAAAAATATTATAAAATCTTTTCTTCTACTACTTCTTTTTTACCAAAAACCTTTTCAATTGCTTTACCAACAGTAACTAAATCTTGTAATAATTCACTATGGACACGAGTGGTGTGAAACACATCATATGGTATACCATCAGGCAATCTAGTACTTGTAAATGGAACTGCGCCATCACCTTTTACCCGAATTGGTTGATCATACAGAATTGTGAATTTATTACCGTCATCATCAAGTTTAACATGAAAGCCACTAGTCGCAGAATGACTGTCCGACACTATAGTTGCCAAAGGTGGATAATTGATCGATTTATCTTTAGGCGACTTCAATGTCTCATGAAATGCTTTGGTATCATCCAAAACCATTTTCAAATAATCGGCTCTTTCCTTTTTACTACCCAATTCCGAATATCTAGGGTTTTCTTCATTATCATTATCATCGTCATCATGACTAACCAGATTTGAGAGTTGACAATTCTTCCAACAATCCACATCAAAATAATCAAACTCGCTTAAATACTCTCCACTGACACTATCCTTAAAAACTTTGTCGTATTGCGCTGGCAAAAAATGATAAGCGGATCGCAATGTGAAATGGGCGGCTTCATCGTGAATTCGCTTGTTGAACAATATATTGTCACCGTATTTGAAGGTATGAAGAATCCCAGGTGCTCCGTGAAATAATGAACCGGCAAATATACAACCGGCAAATAGTTCTGGTTGCTGGTGAAGAGCAGACAAGGTTATCAGACCACCGTTAGAATGAGCAATCACATAGATTGGCTTTTGACCGTTGTTCGAGTAAATGTCTCGAAGAAACTCGAGAAATTTATTAGTAGTGGAAGTATTTGAACGACGCCAATCATAACTGAATTTATGCAATTTAAATGGTGGCTTATACCCTTCTTGTTGATCTTGTAATTGTTCTTTACCATTCTCTTCTCGAATGTTTTGTAACTGGACCTCCTGATGTTGTTGCAAACTCTCGTTTTCAACCATTAAATTTTTATTCTTCAAAAAGATTGATGTGATCATCTTATTAACGGACTTTTTTTTTTTAAATTGACGCTATCGTTCATCAATTTACTTTTTCTAGATTTTCTGTTTTCTCTAAGATATGATTTGTAATGTTGTTGTAACAATTCTTCAATATAGACGATCAAATCTTTGTAAAATTTAATAAACCCTATCTCCTCCAAAATCCCGTCAACTATCACATCGTCAGGTTCGTCAGCAATAATGTTTAGTGGTAGATCGATATTTTCTTTACTGTTTGGTAGAAATGGAGTCGTTATCGAGAGCCAACTATGACTTTTTTTTTTTACATTGTAAAGTTTGGAACCACGAAACCCTGGAATGGATGGAATGAGTCAAGTTTTATTATATTGTGATGGTAGTAATAATAAATAATAATAATAATAATAATAGATATTAAAAATAAGAATCTTTCTTTTACCTGGAATTAGAACAATGTCAGAGTTTAAATATTCAAAGCCGGCAATTTTTACGGGTGTTGTTTTTGAAGGGTTGGAATTAGTAGATGATGACGATGACGACGACGATAAAGAGGTTGTGGAGGAGGAGGGGGATGAAGATAGAGATGACAATGATGGTGGTGTTGGTGGTGGATGAGATGACATTTTTTTTTTGCTAGTTTGTAATTAATATTTTGTTTTAAAAATTGATTGTAGAATAATATTAAATAAATAGAAAGAAATAATAGTAATAATAAATAATAGTAGTAATAATAGTAATAAAAAAAAAGTGCTTATATATTATATTGACAGCAGCACCCTTATTGTTTCATGTTATGTTTATTAATAGTAACCAATGATATACATATATATTAGGTAAGCATTCGTGTCGAATCGTCCAAACAAATTCCGAACCGAATTTCTCAGAACAATTAATTTCGTTTCCCCTAACTATTATTAAACTTTATTGAGATGCTTTATATAATGAATATAATCAAAATTAGTGCATCATTTCACATATATGATAATAATAAACAATTCCATTTAGGTTTTGTTTGATTCTGAATGAAAAAACTACATTTGGAAAATTAATAAGAATTGTCGGAACGCAGTTGACTGATTGGTTGATGTAGTTGATTGAATGAATTTCTATTTTCCTTTTTCCTTTAATTATTGTCATTTATTTAATTGTTTTTCCATGCTACACAAACCGCTCATAATAAAAAAGTCCCTCTCTTATTTTCCAAAATATAAATAACAATAAATTTTTTCAGCTAAAAAAATCGAAAAAAACGAATTTAAATTGAATTTGAATTTGAAAAATTTCCACTTTAATCTACTTAATTTTATTCCTTGTTTTTCTTTACCCGCCGCACCATTCAACTTATTATTATTAACCCACTCACCCTCCACCAACTTACACAACTAACTCACTCATTTAATCATTCAATCAGTTTATTTATTTATTTATTTTGCATATTATTATTATATACAAATATAATATAAATAAATCATCACTCGCAAAATATTTTCCTAAATATTTATATTTAATACATAAATTAAGAAATATTTTTTTAAAAAAATAAATAAAACTTCTTCTCTCCCATTATTATACACACAACACACACACACACACACACATACATTTTCTTCTCAACTTCTCTCTCTTTATTACCTCCTACTAATACTTACTTACATTTATTATATTATTATTAAAATATGGCCCGTACTAAAGTAAATCTTTATATATATTATTATTATTGTTATTAAAAATATAGCGTCTTTTTTCTGTTTCTTTCTTTCTTTCTTTCTTTCTTTCTTTTCCACTAACAAATAATACTTTCTATTAATAAAAATAGCAAACTGCACGTAAAAGTACCGGTGGAAAAGCACCAAGAAAACAACTTGCAACAAAAGCCGCTCGTATATCTGCACCAACAGCTAGCGGAGGTGTTAAGAAACCACATCGTTACAGACCTGGTACTGTGGCCTTACGTGAAATTCGTCGTTATCAAAAAAGCACAGAATTGTTGATTCGTAAATTACCTTTCCAAAGACTCGTGAGAGAAATAGCTCAAGATTTCAAAACTGATTTACGTTTTCAATCAAGTGCCATAGGAGCTTTACAAGAAGCAGCTGAAGCTTATTTGGTTTCTTTATTCGAAGATACTAATCTAGCTGCTATTCATGGTAAATAGAAAATTTACTATTGGTGGTGTGGAAAAGGAATATTATATTATTCAACATTTGTCGATAAATAATTAATATGTTTAAAATTTTTTTTTTTTATAGCTAAAAGAGTTACAATTCAACCAAAAGATATTCAATTGGCTCGTCGTCTTCGTGGTGAACGTACTTAAACAAAGAAAATCAACTTGAAAAAAAAAAAAAGAAAAAAAAAATTTATTCTTGTATTATAATAATAATAGCTTCATAACCATATATAATAATAATAATAATTATCATATCGTAATAATATTAGTAGTTTTAAATGTAAAACAACATTTATCCAATTGATGCATAAATAATAATAAATAATATTATCTATAATTTAATTGAATCATGAAACACATATCGTTTTTTCCATTGATCTTTTTGTCACAAATTAATTTATATTGATAGTTGTCGTAAAGTAACATTATCGTTTTAGCGTTTCTTCTATCCAACAATGGGCATAGTTTGAAAATAAATTAATCATTTACTATTACTGCTGTTGCTATTAAAAACCAAGTTTACTCTAACTATGCCCAAAGTCACTTGAACAGCCACTCAAAATTTATTTCTAATAATCGTCCTTGGTGGTTACGTACTTCTAAAAATTTTGTTTCATTTATATTAAGATGGCTTTGGTTTTCCGGGTTCCTTCATTTAGTTTGCATTTTCACTATATATAACATGTCACAAGATCCACCACCATGTAATCAAGAATTACAGTACTATTAGAAATATATTTTTTTAAATAGCTTCTTATGTATTTAAACTAACTAATAATGCTCGGGCGCTCGTCCAACCTTTTAGATCACATTCTGCTTTTTCCAGAGATGGGAAAACTACTTTAAGAGTGCTGAAAAGGCTGCACCAGTAATTCAGAAAGTCTTTTTTTATCAGAGATAAATAAAATTTCCCTTCCTGATTATATACCTTGAAATTTTATAAAATGAATTTTATTAATTAATTAGAATGATTACGAGTTGCAATCATCCCGTGTAATTTTTTTATTGTATATTTTTAAATATAATTAATTATATATATCTTTAATAAATCAACAAAACAAAACAAAACAACTTGGCTATTTAATTCTTTCCTTGTATGTGAATATCCATTAAATATTCATGATGGTTATGATTATTATTCAATAATACATTTGACATTATCATTGGCATAACAAACGATTGCATCACTCGAGTAATAAATAATACCAAGACCATGTAGAAATGAAACTTTTAAGGAACTCATTTTCAAATCAACCTTACTGGAGGATCAAAAAATATTTTTCCTTCCCATTATATAGTTCCTTAAAATGAACAATAAATTGATCACAGGTGTCAGATTTAAATCAAATGCGCAATTGCAAATCTTTCATGTCCATGGAATTTTTTCTTCCACAGATGAAAAAATTGTCAACACATTAAAAGGCTTTTGGCAAAAACTTTACTCTCAGATGAGTATTGATTGCTGATTATTGAATTGTGTTATCCCTACTAGTATAAATTATAAGGATTAGCATCTATTTCTGCAATTTAGGAGTTGAAACTATATTTTTTAGATGTAATAAATGTTTATTTTCAATTTTCTTAATTACAATTGGAACTTTTTTTCATAAAGTTTAGAGATCCTATTTCATAGGCTTGATCTAAGGTGACTATTTGGGCAAAAGCCCAGTTCCTACCAAAATTATAAATCTGGCCAATATCAAAAAATCAGAGAATTTAGGAAAATAATTAATTTAATTAATTTTATAGAACAATCACAATTTTATAATGCCAGAAATCTAGCAAGCTCTTTGAAAACGAAAGAGCACAAACTCCATTTTGGATTGCAAGTTTCTCCCAAGCTTGAAGTGAGTTGTAGATTCTCATTGCTTCGATGGATTTGGATGTTTATCACACCTAACGTTACAACTCTTCAAAATGCTGCAATCTCCGAGTTGTGACTTCTTGATTGCAGAGCCAACCATTTTTATCATAGTGGTAGGATCATTGCAGGAAACTTTTCAGCCAACATGCATATCTGGGTAATGCCAGCTCAGGTGCTGTGAGGAAGATTGTCCTTGACAATGATGCAGTCTTGATAAACTCCGGGGCATCTTTTCTCTTCCCTGGAATTCTGTTCATCATCGTATCATTAGGGGCAAGTCAAATTAGCCTTTTTGCATGAGGAGCATGAGAGAATGACTACAAGATGTTCAAGGTAGTATGTGTACTTCAACATCCTATAATCAAACGTTCATATCGAATTGTTTCTTATTGAATTGTTTCTTCTTTTCAACAGTCATGTTGCTTTTCTTTACCCTTGACATCTTACAATTATATATTTATATTATACAAAAGTAAAACGATACGAATCGTTTATTTATTATCATTGATAAAGAATCATATAAATACCCAATATGTGATAAGTTCTGCTTCACGTTTTGATTTCAATAATATATTTTATATAAAATAAAAATAAATCAATACACAAAAATAAACCTCTTGCTATCAATAAACAACAAATACTCTCATCCTCCAGAACAATACCATATCACCTTTTCTCCCTCATGTAAAAAATTCATTCGGCGTGTTAATAATAATTTCCCAACCAAAAATGCAATAAAATTGTTCGATCATGTGTTATTTTCTAGCCGTATCATATAGTAAAAATCAGCAATACACCATTAAAAAATATTGACAATAGCAATAGGAATGAAATATTTTTAATAGATAGGAGATATCAAGTATATGTTTTGCAATTCCCTTTATCAATGCAATAGTCTATTTTTATTAAATTTTTATATAATCTGGGCAATTTACGTAATAAAAGATC